CGACTCCTCAATCGCCGAGTCCCTCAATCATCACACTAAGCTATTCCATGCGCTAACTCCGAACCCATCACCTGGACGGCGACCACGCACTGTCGAGTCGATCATTACCCGAGCGCCCCTGCCTGCTTCCGACTTCCTTCATTCGGGATTATCTCCCTCGCCTGGTTACTTGGGGAACCCACTCGGCGAATATTCTTGGTATGCCCGCTGGCTTTGGAGTCAGAAGGTGATTCGGTGGGGACTCCAGCCGACTAAATGAAGCAAGAAATCGGCAAAGGGGTGTCGACGCGAGGTCGAACTTAACAAATCGTGCAGTGCCTGAACTTACGTGGACTCAGCGGACTCGGCGGGACAACCATGAATGCTTCGTTCCATTAATGATTCCTTCTTTGTTCGACGGTTGTCTGGTGGTTGCTAGTAACAATCTACAAGGAGTCGGCCACCATTGTCGCCACCAATCATGGCCTCCGACTGACCCTGCAGCTTTCACGATCCACTAGGCACGACTTGATGGATAAGTACCTCGGTCGTCTGCTCTACCATTTCACCTCTGCATAGGTCGCCGAGGAGTCTGGCGGCCGACCAACGGGAGGAGTCGACTACATCTCCAACCACTGGTTCCACATCTCTTTGCTTGGAAGACGAAGCTTTATCCCCGGGAACCAAGGTGCCCATTAAATGAGAGCCACGTACCTCTTCAGGTGAATCCCACATGCGCTACCATGTATAAAAGATTATTCATGCGAAAACAATGTTTAGAATTCCCCAGGATCCTTTAACAAGAAGCATTTTCACGCGGCCAGCTAGAGCACTAATCCATGCTCTGAGTCGCATCCAGGTAATATGATCTTGCGAGCAAGATAAAGCCGACCTCTTCTGTTATTAAAACTTCCTCCTTCCCCTGCGTGAACAGCCGACTTTGACTTCGCCGCGGACCCCATGCTTGTCGACTGCCCTCTTGTCGACAATTTCTGCCAAGCCTGTCGGCTTTCAATTTCTCCAAGATGCAAACCCCATCTGGGTGGTTCTAATAATCCCATTGGCCAATCATGTGAGAAGATCAGAGAGGGCTTGTCGACTTTCTATGCCGAGTCCACCATCTTCGGCCGACTTCCTTTCACTGAGTTTTTACTTTCATGCCTTTCAAAAGTACCATGCATTTGACTTCCCATAATGACATACTTCCGTATAAGAAGCTTCTCACTCACATAATAAGGCAAGGCGCGGGGAACGAGATCATACAAAAATAAAAGATAGGGAATTTTGGTGCAGAAATCTTCATGCCTAAGCCACGCATCGAATGCCGACCCTTTCCTTCGCCGAGTGTTTTCTGTTGAGCGCTTCCCTGCCCGTTGGGAGCTTTGTCACCATCGATGCCGACTCCATATCACGAGTTGGTCAAGTCGTGATACAGGTACACAAAGTGAAAGAGGTTGGTGCAACGTGGATTCGGCGGACTTTGCGGTCTCGGCGATCTTGGCTTAGTTGCTTTCTCCATATTAAAACTCCAACCTTCAATCCCATCTTTTACGTAGTTCTGATTTAGCTTGGTTCTTATAGTGCCGACTGCTTCCCGGCTGACTGCGATTTTTTTTTTTTTCGAGTGCTTTTCTTGTTGGCCAATCATGCAAGCACATCAGAAAAGCTTACAGACAGCTCGGCCTATCTGATTCCTGTGCCGAGTCCACTGTCGCCAGCTCTCCTACCCGGTTGGTGTCCTCAATTCCACGACGCAATTGCTACGCAACCGACTCCCAAGTTCCCGCCGAGTGCTCTCTTTGGCTTGGGCGTATGGCGCACGAACTGATTTTGGAGGAGAGGGGCGTTGATCATTGGAAGGAACTGGCTACGTCTCCCCACCTTTCACGATCGTTTGGACGAAATTAGAATATGCCTGATTTGTCTTATCACTGGCTATGCCTCCAGAACTCTTCCTTATGAGGAATTCAATATTTAAATATTATAAGCATTTCCACGTGGTGTTATTTCATCCCAAGAACCTTCCATATGCCATATATTTTGAGGTTACATCGTAAATGATGTGGAGAATTTCCTTTGGATGTCGCGCACTGTAGATATGCACTCTCCATGCCAAATGTTTAGGAATTTGGTAATTGCGCAGAATTTCCTTCAATTTTGGCCGACCATATTTCTATGGACGACCGTCTCGGATTTGCTCGCGATTGATTGGAGTGGAGTCGGTGGGCTCAACTCTCTTTCACAAGCCTCTTTTAGCAACATACTGCTTGTCTGCTTCTTTATAAATGAGGTTTTTCGCATAATCAAGAGAAAAACAATGAATGCAATTGTGACCACGGTGTCTACCGTTAAAATCGTGGTGGGGGAACCATTTATTCGGCGTCCCGACTTCTGGATTCCCCCGGCCGAGTCCCTCAGTGTGATGGATCGGACCTTCTCTCGCTAACAACTTCGAGTATTTTAATTTAAATATTACATCTAATTTAAGGGTTACCTCTTGTAGACCTCAACACACAGTTTTATTTGCTTGATTCTCCTCTAATCCTCTTCTTGGTCCACGACTCTCCGTGAACCTTCTCAATCTTCCGTCCGTAGTGGATCCTTTCCACCGGACGCTCTCCGAAATTGCTCAGGCAAAGAGACAAACGCAACCTTTTGTCACGATCCCCACAGACGGTGCCCGTGATGGTTTTTGGGTTTTCGGGCCCAAGGAGGTCCAACACAACCTTGGTCGGTGGATTCACCTTTCAATAAAAATGTGTGCTAAAATAATATGAGCTCGATGATTTTGACGTGGAAACCGAAAGGAAAACCACAGGCCTTTTTGGGCGGTGCCAAGCCTAACTCCACTACGTATTTTGTAGGTGTCTTTGTACATACTTGTAGGGCTATTCTCTACACAAAGTGTTGTGTTTCTAATAATATAGCAATAATAATATAAAGAAGAGTGATGGAATGGTGTGGAAGAGTCCTTCCATTTGTATGGATGAGTGGTGGAGCCTTCTTGGTATGTTGTGGAATGAGGCCTTCTTGGGAGAGTAGTTGTGGGAGAGTGATAGTAGTCTTCAAGTGTGTAGGAAGAGTGCTTGGGAGAGTCCTCCCATGTGTGTATGAGTGAGTGAATGGATCCCCCCTTCTTCTTGTCTTCTCCTCATTTTACAGCTAGCCCATCCCCAAAAGTGTCCGTTGGACCATTTAGTAGGGTAGTTAATAGGTATTAACTTGGTTATTAGTGGGGTAATAAGTGGGAGACTTAATAGGTAGCCTTTATTTGGGGGGTTATGGATGAGGTAGATAAATAGGACTTTTAAGGGTAGATAATTAGGAATAACGGCTAGTTAGTCCGACCCTCTACCCGTGCCGACCTCCGGGTCGAGCCGACTCCTGGGCCAACCGACTCCTCGGTTTGGCTCGTATCTCTTTTGGGCTTGCTCCATTTTCTTCTTGGGCTTCCCTTCTTTGTCTGGGCTTTATCTCTTTTCTTCTTGGGCCCCGAGCCCACGGGGTTCACACCCCATCAAGTATGATGAATAGTGTTGCACAAGATTGCATTTGAGTAGAATATCGCATGAGATTACATAATGAGAATGTTGATTTAAGATTGTTCATCGAGCATGATTATTTTGTTATGTTTGAAGCCTTGTATATCAAGTTTATGTGATGTGAATGTGAGAGCATAAGAATACATGTTATGGTTTCTTAGTATGATCCTACCTGTAAGCATGAATTGCTTGTTAATGTAATTGAAGTGTTTATATGTTGAAATATCTAAGTGTTCAGTCTTAAATGTATATAAGCATGCCAATTGATATTATAGGTTGCAAGCATTTAGAAAGTATGTGATAGATCTAAAGATGATTAGAGATAAGTCTGTTGTTTCCAAGAGAAATCAAATGTTTTCAAAGTATATCTATAATGCTTTACAGGGTTGAGTGTGGTTATACTTAGCTTCGTGCTAACATGTGTTTCCCTATTTGTCTATGTGTTGCTTGCAAAACCCCTTTCAGGTGGGCCCAGCAGTGAGAAGAGATCAAGTTTGATTAGTCTCGTAGTTTGAGATGTCTAAACTCTAGATATGTTGATGACTTTGTTTTCGGATTTTAGACTCATGGTTGTTATTATGGTTTTGATGATGATGTAGACTTTTGGGGTGACTTTTCCCCCTTATGTTTTTAGTATTTGTTATGGATGCCATATATTTATGTTATTTCTAGTATTACCCCTTAGCCTGTGCAATCACCACGGAGTGGTGGTTGTGGCGGTGACATTCCCACTAGTTATCTTTTTAGTTATTATTTCCGCTGCTTAGTTTATGTTAATGTTTGGATTAGAGTTGTGATTAAGAGATAGAAAAGTGGGGTGTTACAGAGACTATCTCCCGGTCCAATATCACAAGTTATCCTGCAACCTTCAGTTGAATAGATGCGGCGGGGCAATAACACTCCAATCTCAGCAAAACTTATCATCACTAATAATGTACTCATTAAATAAAAATGATATAGACATTGTTTGGTAACATAGTTAGCTTATCAACAAATTTTGACTTATTTGACCACTATTAGATGTTTGACTTGTTAAACAATCAATATGAGTGTTTGATTAATTAACTTTTTCTAACAACTTATTGCTCTAAAATGCTAAAATTCAAAAAGCTACTTAAAACAACTTTGAGAAAGTCATTTTCCATGTTATCAGCTATCAGCTAACAACAAATTTATCAAACACTTTTCTACAATCAGTTAATGCTATCAATTAGTCAAAACTCACTAACCCAATCAGCTATTTACCAAACACTCCATAGTAGTTCTATTTTTTTTTTTTATCAATGCAATAAATGTAACAACATGATTACAAATATGTCAATCTCATAAAAATGCCAATAATAATAATAATAAAGCAATTAAGAATAACCTGTAAATTAAGAGATCTAAATAGTTTGAAGAATTGAAGATATGAAAACGCTTTAGGTAAAACTTGAAAATTTGATGTTAGTAATAATTTTATTGGGGAGGTATTGTTGGCTTGTTGCTATGCCCAATCACCAATTCTCTCAGATAGCCCACTGGGCTAAAATTTGTTGACAGTCCAGAGAGAGAGAGAGAGAAATCCCTATTTTGAGAGAGAGAAGAAAACAGGCAGCTATCCAATTCCATTTCCATTTTCCAGACAGGAACACGAAGAGTGCATCTCCTTCACCATTTCACTCCCGGTACGTCTCCAACTTCAAATTGGTTTGATTTATTTTTGCATTCTGCATTTATACAAGACCTTTGAATTGTGTGTAGCTGTGGGAAAGCTGAGGTTAAAATCAATCAATGTCTCAAGATTAACCTAAATTCTGTGTGTGATTTGTAGGTCAAAGACTAATGAATTGAGTGAATTATGTTAAGGAGCAGATTGATTTGAAACGGAGTGGATGGGTCCCCCATTAGATTTGCAGGACTTCCTTCTTCGAGCTCGAGTACTTAAGTTATACAGGCATGCTCTCAGGATTGCCAGAAGAGCTCCTACCCATACTAGAGGTCACTCTCTTTCTTCAAATCATATTCGTTCCAGTTTGGTTACTGTTCCTGAGGCTTTATGCTTATTTAGTACAGAACAGAAACATCGATGCACCCAGCCTTTTATCTACTTTTTTTTGTTTTTTTAGTGATGAGAGAAACCTGCAAAAGACTATAAAAGAGTTAAATCAATCTAGTTGTCCATAATTGATCGGTTCAAGAAAGCCGATAGGCTATTCTGGCTGAGAGTCGAACTTGTAATTTTGCCTCCGTCCAACAATCTCCTAGCCACCGATGCTAAGCCTAACAATTTTCCCTCAATTTTCCCTCTCATATACCACCTTTTAGGATCAAAAGTTTGTCACTACTCCAAATGCTATAGCTAGTAGCTAAAATGCAACTTTATTGCCTTATTTTCTTATACCGTTTACATTTTTGAGACATTGAGTGTTGGACTTAGCTCTTTTAAATTGTCAGCTACCGGGTGCTAAACATAATAGGTCGAACTAATGGAGTTAGCACATTAGACACATTATTTTTCTCTCAAAAAGGTTGAATCCCCAACCCAAGGACCCCTCACACCTCGGCATTTAGGAGGATGTAAATGGCTCACAGGGCCAAATGCTGGTGCGCCACATTGTTGCTGCCGAGGTTCGAACTTTGGTTGACCTCCGTCTAATAGTCGACAATCTGACTAACTTGGATGGGTTGCCTTTTTATTAATTATTATGTGTGCAGGTGAGGTGAGTGAGATTATAAGGCAGGAGATGGAGAAGAACAGAAGTTGCAATGACAAGCAAAGGATTCGTTTCTTGATTAGTGAAGGGTTGGAGAGAGTGAAGCGATTGGATGAGATGCTGGATTTGCAAGGTCGTTAATGTTGATTACTTGTTAATAAAGATGTTGGGTGGATTAGCTGGATACACTTCTTGTATTCTTTCTTCTTAAGAAACAAAAAATTGTTGTTACATCACCATAGTTATTTCATGCTTCATTAACCAAACAACTGCAGCTTGTAGTGTTGTATTGGATAACAAAATTCAGGAATTCATCTTCTGCACACTTCTTGGGCCAAATTTCAAATTTCCCATTCATATCCAAATTAATACACAAAAATCTAACATATGAATGCTTAACAAACAAACAAACAAACATGAACACGAACACTCCAAAAATCTTGACAAATGAACACGAAAAACTTTCGTTCATTCATGTTCGGTTCGTTAACAGCGCTAATGCTACAAAACTGGCATTAATATCCATCCAAATTAATACACAAAAATCCAACTTTAAGCTAGATATTGCATCATTGGTATCAAGTAACAACTGGCAGCATATATTACCTCCCTCCCACAGGGCCAAATGTTAAGGCATTCATAATGATTAATGAAGAACAGAGGTGGGATGTTCTTGTTCTTCTACAAGGGACGAGTAATATAGCCTTTCTCAACCATCTTCGAAACCAGCTCCTCATGCTTCTTCATTTGGCCTGCCTTCCTGAGTTGCTGCAGAACCATTTCATAATCTGCTTTACCCGGTCTCAGACACTTCTCCTCGATCATTTCTCTAAAATACTTATACGCATTATTCCAATGCCCCATGCCACAATACATGGAAATCAGAATCCTGTAAGTATTCACGCTAAGCTCAACTTCGCTCTCATCCATTTCTTTCTTAAGCTTGATCACCATGTCAGTGGACCTCGATTCAACAAACATCTTCATCACTATATTGTACGTCTCAGCATTCGCCTTGCACTTTATCTCCTTCATCCTGGCATACAACCGATGAGCAGCATTCACATCCCGCGAGTTCCCAATGCACCTAAAAATCGGATTGAAGCTATAAACATTGGGTTCGCATCCTTTACTAACCATCGCGTTAAGCACCTTGATCGCTTCCTCGCGATTCTCATCCTTGCAATGACTTTCAATCAGATAATTGTATGTAATAACATCGGGAGGGCACGAAAGCCTCTTCATCTGATTATACACCTGCAACACCTTCTCAGTTCTCCCAGCCTTCACATGAACTCTCATAAGGTTATTAAAGGTAACAGCATTAGGTTGACACCCAGTATCAATCATCTCTGAGAAAACATCATATGCCCGAGTTATCTGCCCTGTTCTACACAACCCATCAATCACAATACTGTAAGTATAAACATTGGGCTCAATCCCTGCAACTTTCATTTCATTGAAAACCCTTTGAGCCTCTGAAATGTTCCCTGCACGACACCAACCGTGAACTAAACTAGTATAGACCACCACATCAGACTCATATTTATCTTTCAATCTATCAAAAAATGTTTGAGCTTCTTCAGCCCTTCTTTTCTTAGAGAGTATACCAATTACTGAAGAAAAAGCATTTCTATCAGGCTTACAGCCATAGTCCTCCATCACGTTAAACGTGTGTATGGCCTCTGAAGCAAGCCCAGCTCGGACATAGCGGCGAATTAAATTCAAAAAAGTTTCTGTAGAAACTGCGATGTTATTTGATTTCATAGAATCTATCAAGTGCCAAGCTACACCGAACTGGCGTACCTTTCCAGCGAGATCCACCAATTCGTCGTATGGCTGGGGATTTTGGAAGGAATAGCGCGCGGCTGCCCAATTGAAGAACGCCAAAGCCTGGGGGAAAGGAATGCCGTGCCGCACTTCGCCGCATTTCTCGATGACGCGGAGGACGACGGCGGCGGAGACGGGGTCGACGTCGGCGGCGCAGATTCTGGAAAAGTCGGAGGAGAGAGATGGGAGAGTGAGGTCAGGGTTTAAGGGAGTAGGGCTGCTATTAGGGTTTTTCCGGTAGTGGTCTTTGATTAAGGAGTGGAATTTCTCGGCGGCTAGGGTCTCAGTTGGGGTTAAGGTGGAAGTGAGTCGGGACGAGCTGTCTCCGCCGCCGTCTCCATCACCGTCGGAGTCGACGGCGGCGTCTTCGATGTGGAGCCCAGTGATGGATGTGGAGAAGGGAATGAATCTGGTGGTGCGGGAGAGAGGAGAGGGAAAATGGAGACGCAGCAAATTTGTTATGAACATTGGTGCGGAGTTGAAGGTGAAATCAAACTTTTGGGAACATAAATTAAATGGCTGCCTGCTAGATGAAGCTTAAAAATATAGGGCAAATTGTAGTGTACATTGATATAGATTCACTAAAAACTAGCAGGCACTATAGGAGAGTTTGCAGTATATAAATTACAAATTAATGAATTATAAACTATAATGTATTAAAAATAAATATTTATTATGATTTCATAGGAAGCAACCAGTGTAGTCGGGTATAATTTTCTTTCTTTTTAATTTCTCTCTTGTAGTCGTAACCTGAATTTGTTTATATGTGTCCACTCCCCCAAAAACTTAAATCTCTTCACGCGAACAAACACAACGCCTACATACACCGAGGACTAGAAAGCATCCAAGGCATATAATTGTCTAACTAATCAAACCTTAGTAGATACAGTATGAGAATTATATTCGATATGACTCTTTGTGGATACCGATTTTCTCATTTAAAAATTTGTTAAGTTACCATAATTTACATATCAACCATTTTATCGTATTTGAATCGAAGTGTAGGAATCATGGAGTGTGGCATTTTCACTTTTGTGGGCAATATATTGGATTTTTATTTATTTTATGAGTTGGGCTCCCATGTTATGGTCCATTGGGCTTTGGGTACCCAGAAGCATAGAAAAGTAATGTATACATGTTAATCAAAATAATTATGTGTGAAAACGTGTTCACTATACGCATGCTAGTAGATCTATAATTTTTATATTGTAGATATATAATTTTTTTTATTTTTGAAAACGCAGATTCATAATGTTTTTTTCATTTGTTGTTAACGGGATAGATCTATAATTTCTAAGTTGTACATTCATAATTTTTATACTGTAGATTCATAATTTTTGTACTGTAGATTCATAAATTTTATACTGTAGATTCATAATTTATATACTGTAAATTCATAATTTCTATATCTATACTGTAGATTCATAATTTCTGTAATGTAGATTCATAATTTCTATACTGTATATTCATAATTTCTATACTATACATTCATAATTTCTGTACTGTAGATTCATAATATCTGTAACAACACATGAAAAAACAAAATTATGAATCTACGTTTTAAAAAACAGTATAGAAATTATGGATCTACCCATGTGTTCACCCTGCGCATAGTGAACATGTTTCCACAACATAATTTGCGTGTTAATCATTACCGTGTGCTATTATTTTAACTCATAAAATATATTATTTTATCTCAAATATTTTATTATTTTAACACATAAAATACATTATATATTATTCTATATCATAAAATACATTATTCTAACTCATAAAATACATTACCTTACTTCAAAAATTTCATTATTCTAACATATATATAAAGTACATTATTCTAACACATAAAATACTTTATTATAAATAATAAAACACATTATCTTACCCTAAAATATTCATTATTCTAACACGGGCACAAAGAATTTTTTTATAATATTAAAATAATATTATTTTGAACCACGGTCCACACAATAATTTACTCAATACATATATAGTAGTCTACTTTTTAGTTTAAATGAAAAAACGAGTGAATTGAAAGATTATAGGAGTAATAAATTGATAGTGGCAAATGGGGCCCTGGAATTGAAGCTTGTGATAGTGACCAATAATTCAGATTGGTGAGCTGGTAATGTAATGTTCTGTTCAACACTTATTCATATTCAATGCTGCTGTCTGGTGATACCAACTTTAAACGTACCGTTAAAATATTGCCAACCATAAAGGCATACTTTGTCTTCACTCTTGGCAATTGGCATATAGATTAATATTTGGACAACTATATATATATATATATATATATATATATATATATATATATATATATTTTCATAAAGACAGGTAACTCTACTTAGGTTTCTTTATTTATTGTAGAGAGCATCGTGTCAATTTCCATATATAGTAGGAATAAAAAATACTGATCATCTAATTGTGAACTAAAAGTAGTAAAATATTTGATGGGAAAGAAAGTGATTAGAGAGTCGTTAAGAAATCTAATTAAGGAATGTAACTTGTGGATACAACATGAGTCTTAAAAAGAGATTCATCATATATATATAGAAATTAAAGCATAACAAAATAATTGACAAGTTGATTGAGAAAACAACCATTCACGAAAGATATTTGATCAGATAGCTTGAGAATCTCGAATCCTTTAGAACAACCTCATTTGTTGAGGTTTTTTGTTGTTTTTTAGAAAGTCAAGTAGGAGAGAGAGGAGGGTGAGAGAAAAAATGGAAGAGTAAAAGAAAAGGGAAAAAAAATTCTGAGAGAATAAAATAAAAATAAAAATAAAAAACACGCTTCTTACGCGCCCAACATGGTGCGTGTATTGTATCGCATCATGTTTGGGCACGGCAGTGCATTTAACGCACTGTCGCGTTCCTTTTTTCCAAAATCTGGGCCCCACAAAAAATAACCCCTTATAGGAGAAAAATCTCCTTAAAAACCCCTCCTTCCCATTTGTCAAAAAACCAACATTAAACATGTCGTTTGGTTGGAATGAAGGAATTAAGGTGGAAATGAATTGTAATTCGGTGGGAAAAGAATAAGGTGGGAATAAAGTAGGAATTCAAATTACGTTGTTTGATAGGGAGAAATAGAATTATTAGAATTGAGAAAGAAAGAAGTGGTATAAAGACTAAAATACCCTTGTGTAATAATAATAGTAATAACAACCAAGGGTAGTAATATTATTTCATCTATTTTTCCTTTCTCAAATTCATTGAATTACAATTCCGTAGAATTGCAATTTCCCTCCAACCAAATAACGTAATTGAGGCATCCATTAAATTCCAATTCAACTACCGTAGTGAACCAACGCCCTGTAAGTTTGAGAGGAGTTATACATGATTTGATCTAACATCATTTATGACCTAATTATGCATTTGTTTTTCACATAAATCTTTCATTGTTTTCTAACAAAAAAAAAAAGATTATTTCTAAAAATGGTATATTAAACAATTCCTAAGTTTTCAACCGTTGTCATTAAAATACTATATAGATTTTAAATATTGTATTTGTAATGTCAAAATGATCTCAATAAAGAATGAAAAATTAATTCAAAAAGTAGCATTAAATTTAATTGAATTTGCAAGTTGTGTAACTTTTTAGCAGAATACTCTAGCTCTACAACACTCACACATGACCTGTGACTCTTATCTCCTTGTAGCCCAAACATCACTTCACATTAAATGGTGAAATTGAACCAAACAATTCAAATGGGAAGAATATGAAGTTTGTGATATATAATAAAGAAATATGGTATTGGTCACAAAATTTAATAATATAATTTTGCCGACTGCGGAATTTAAATAAATTAAAGTGCACCAATAATAAAAATGGATTAAAATTTCTATTTGGAAAAATAAATAAAAATTTCCCAAAAAAAAAAAAAAAAAAAAAACTAGGATCCTTTGGACAAGTGTAGAAGACTAATCTGACGGCTGAAAATCGTTTTGGTTCGTTCTGGGCAAAATATGGACGGATAAAACTTGAAATCCCGGCGGAGTATCCACCACCCACATATTAGACGGCGGATTTGCCACCACGTCCACCACCGCGATACCCTCGCCGCCGGCGCAACTCACACAAACTCGACCACCTCCGGCGGTGATGTGCTGAGCACCTTTAAGCATCTGATTTTCCGTTACTTCCACCCACAGATCCCTTTCCGGCTCGTATCTCCTGAGCGCGCCTTTGGATTCATCCACCATGTAAATGGTTTCCTCATCCAACGCCGCCGCCGGGCCCCTCCACCCCATCAGCATTCCGGCCGGCATCTCCTCCCAAGCATCGCTTCCGACGTCGTAGATTATCCCTTCCTTGGCGGCGTCGCCGGTGACATTCACCATACACAGCTTCCCTCTCCACCCCACCGCATCAATCGCATCTCTACTGAATTTCCCATCCCGGAGGCCGCCCATTTTCTCCCACCTCCACCCTGATTCCACCGGCTTCCTCCGAAAATAGTGGGGGTCGTTACTTTTCAGGTCCCACTTCTCAACCGACCGAGCAACTTTGTGGTTGTAGTGAGAGCCGATACCACTCGCCACGTAGACAGCGCGTCCTGACGCGCCGGCGGCGCACCAGCGGCGAGGGGTGCTTAACTGGGGGCCACACGTCCATTTCCCGGTGGGTGGATTAAAAATCAAGGGGCGAGATAGGGCGGGGAGGAACTTGTCTGCGGTGGCTGCGAGGAGGACGAGGTTTCCGGCGACGGCGACGGACTGGACTGGGAGACGGCGGGAGATGAAAGAAGGGTGGCGGAGGAGGAGAGCGGCGGTAGGCGGGGGAAGGGGGAGGAATTTCCAGGCGGAGGAGATGGGGTCAAAGGAGGCGAAAGCGAGGGAATCGGAAGAGGAGAAGACGGCGTAGATGGAGAGGAAAGGAGGAAAGGAAGGAGAGTAGATAAGGCGACGCCATGAATGGCAGACGGAATAGAGAAGAGAAGGATGAACGGAAGAGAGGCATGTTTGAGCTATGTGGTCCGGAAGCCCAGGAATCAGATCCCGGTGGTGATTCTTGCGGCGTTTCACGGCGGAAGAGGCGGTTACCGCCTCTGCAATCGTGGCAGTGATGGGATTGACCATTGATAATTGATTTGAGGTGTTGTAGCAAGGAATGAGATTTGGGGCCATGGAGGCTAAGTCTAATATAATATCATCCTCCTCCTTAATATACTAAGGAACGGAAAGGGAACTTTTGTACTTTCCGTTTGTTTCACTAAACATTTGTTTATTAGGATAAATTTTGCTTTAACATAACTATCTATATTTAAATTTTTTTTTTTAGTACTATCTACTGAACACAAAGAGTCAACCCCTTCACTAAGCTCAAACCTATGACCTCCCAATCAAATAAGTGTCATTAAACTACAAACTACTTGCTAGCATCTACTTATATTTAATTAATTTATGTTTTTATACAAAAAATTTAATATTTATGTTTTGAAGATTGATAGACTTACAATTTGTATATAGAGATTTGTTAATGAGTTGACACGATAACGATATGAACATAATAAAGCTTAACACAGACAAGACTTATTGAAGTTAATACGTTAGAATTTTAAACTTGAACCAAAATACAATTTTTTTTAAAAGTTGACACGATTGACTTGTTTAGTTAACATATTACGGGTCTACATGACATAGTAAGACACGATAACTTGTTATACATGTTAATATAATTTTCCTTTTAATAAATAAAACTTTATAAAAAATATTTTTTTTAATTAAATCAACAAAATAGTTGATGTGGTAAATACTTAGTCCTGAGCTTGGGTAATAACACAAGGTCAGAGAGTCCTAAGCTATAATGTAGACATGTAGTAAGTGAAAGAGACCAAAATTCGCCCCATTAGCATTGAACGTGGTATTTATAGCGGTAAGAAGGGGACACATGTCAGGCTCTCGGTATGGCTGACACGTGTCGCACATGCAGTTGGTGGGTTCAGGAACAACGCATTGGTAGCCACATGTGCTTAGATTATATTCCTCATCGTACACTGAGATGAGATCGGGTTAAAGCCTGAAATCCAAGTCCAAATTCTCAAGTAGCCCTACTCGAGAAGGTTGCTTCGATCTGAACTGATCGGGATCGGTCCCTAAGAAGCGGAGCGCTACTGCAAGCTTTAGCTAGCTCGGTTATAGCATTTAGGCCGAAAATGTCATGCCTGTGATCGGGGAAGGTCGGTTATGGTTCCTAACAGGTGTACGGTACGTAGAATGAGGTAACTCGGAGAATATTCCCTATCAATAGTAAAGATCGTAATTCATAACGTATCATAATGTTCATAAAATGACACAATAATGTTTACAAATCATAACTAATGCTAATTAATATTAATGAGTTTTTAATGGGTTAAGTGAATTTACCCGTTAAGATGTGAATTTTAATGAATTCTTAAGGGATTAATAGTTAATGGCCTGGAACACTTTAAACGTAAATACTAATATGCTATTTTCATTTGTAGCCAATTGGGTGTCTTGTTAATGGGTCCTATCGCAAATTGTAAGGTCTAGAGATTGGTAAATGAGATTAATCGCGTGATATGTCTCAACACTTACACAAGTAGTAATAAAATAAAGATATTAATTTATATTTTGAACTGATGAATCATTTAAGACTTTATGTTATGTGACGAGATATGATATATTACTCCGTATTATATTATTATTATTACAAGGAGTGGATGGGTGGTAGCGAATGATGATTTGGAGGTGATGTCATGTGTCCTCCGGGATTGGGGACAGAGTGAGGTTATAAAGTCATGGGTTAAGGCTTAGGTTTGAATATTGATTGGATAAGAAGTTGCAGTGTGTACTGTGTAGAATGGGGAAATGAGAAATAAAAGGTAACAGTTGAGTTGGATACAAGTTGGAGTTTGAAGATTTGGTGATTTGTAGTTATATATGTAGTTGAACAAGCTAAGTGCCACTATTGACTATTGAGTATTGATGGTGGGGTAAAGGAGATTTTGGCGTCCACTTTTTCTCCCCAATCCCCATAGACATTACCAAATTAGGTTGTCGAGAAATGACGCTTCATTTTGCTTTGGCATGCACCGTCGACTACTTAAAAAGGAAAGGAAGATAAAGTTGTTTTTTTTTTTCTTCTTCTATTTTTATTTTTTATTTTCTATTCTATGTTTTTTATTTAAAAAACTTGTTTATTAACCATTTTTGGATATATTTAGTTTAAATAGAATAAATATAAATTTTACTTTTAAGTCTAATATATGTAAGATTTTAATATTTAATACTCAAACTAAATTTATATAAGTATATAACATAACTAAAAATATACCTGAACCAATAACTTATTAAGTTCATTCAAAATTTAGTTTAAATATTAATATTTTAAAATAATATTTAAAATATTTTTGAATATATCCATTCAAATGAATGTAATCATATTAATGAATAAATATGTAAGTAGATAATGGTGAGAATGTAGTTATAGTGGTATATAGTCAAATAAATTATGGATGATTTTGTTTTCTATTTAGAAAACAGTTTTTTAAAGTTTTTCAATTTTTTTAAAAAATTAAAAATTGTTTCCAATTTTTAAAATAAAAACAATACTAGTAAACGTATTTTTTTTCTAATTAGTAAATTGATCCTAAATGTTTGTGTTTTTATGATAAGGCATCTTCTATTGACACGGTAGTTGTTTTTATTAAGATCTACATACGTCGGTTACTTTATTATTATTATTATTATTATTATTATTATTATTATTATTATTATTATTATTATTATTATTATTATTATTATTATTATTATTATTATTATTATTATTATATATACCGTTTTATGTATCTCTTTGAGTCACTTTTATGTCTTTTATTCTCAAAAGAATTAATTCTATCAGATGTCTCTTGTTTTTTGTGGCAATTTCAAATTTAGTCCCAAACTATCGTTTTTGTCATTTAACATCCCACACTATTATTTTTTAGATACTTTTAATCCTTCTCATGACTTTTCATATATTTAGTAATTGTATGTTTGTCTTCTCATATTTTTCTTTTCATATTTTTCATACGAATAAGCATTGCGAAGAGTGCGAATAATTATTAATCATATCATATTACTTTAATGTGACGTTTGGTTCATGAAATACATTGTGAATAAAATGTCATTCGATCTGTAGAATAGATTTATTCTACTGTTTAGTTTAATTTTTAAAACCCAATGAATAGAATTTCACAGAATGAGTTATTTCCTTCACAAATGAAATAACTATTTCACCCTTTTGTATTAGTTATTCCTAACCCACATTAGGAATAATTATTTTTTATTATTCTAAAAATAGCCTCATAACCCTTTCATAAAAATACATATATTTGAAATATTATATGAAATTTGAGCTCATCTGATCTCGTTTACGATATAAAGATTGATATCCAATTAGCGTGAAAAAATAAAAATAAAAATAAAAAGCATTAGATAGTGTAGCCATAAATTGACGAGAGGTGGCAGCTGCATTGGTAGTTGTGACTCATAACTACAAGTATTCCCAAAGTCTAATGAATATAATGCAATCCTTTTGACTTTTGAAACCAACACGAACTCATTTATATTCCAAAGCAAACCCTATCTAATTCCCGGCCAATTCGACTTTTCTTCTATTATATTCTTTTTCTTTTTGCATGTTTTTTGCTTGCAAATTAATGTTAATGTCAACTGTCCAAGATTCGGAACAATCTAATACTCCATAGTACATAATATGTTTGTTTCACAAAATAAATTTTAAGGGAATAAAAATAATATCTTATACGGGATGACATAAGCAATATAATTAATAAAATACGAATTAGATTTTAAGTGAACCAAATTGTGCAATTGAGGCTCCTAACTACAAAAAAGTTTGGTTTTAAAAAAGAAAATTACAAAAAGTTTCATTGAGATCCCTTAAACCTAAAAAAAAAAAAAAAAAAAAAAAAAGGTTCAATTGACGATAATTTTACTTGTTTTAGCAAGTTACAGCTCATTTATTATTGACTAGGCTTCCACGTGTGCTGTTATTATGATGTAGTGATTATTTTACATCCAATGTGACGGTGACTTAATTAACATCCAATGTGATCCATGACTGTCCTTGTCCTAAAATCACCGCCCCTCGCATATTAGATAAAGACTACCAATGTCTATTGCTAATTTTTAGAAACTTTTTTTTTAAAAATTTTTTGATTTTTTTGGGGCAATAATATCTTGTATATACAGTGAAATTATTCAAATTCAACTCAAATCTTAACCGCAATACTAACTCTTAATCAGGCTATTCTAAATAACGCAAAAATATTCCACTTTAAGGTAGCTTTGGATTTGATTGTTAAATCCTCAAAGTACAGAAATAAGGTGATGTCAGTAAATATAAAGTGAAGGATAAAACAGGGAATTGTGAAGTGTTAACAAGACAAGAAGAGCCAAAAAGGACGGAAAAGATAGAATCTATACGTGGCATGGGATTCCACATTTCACCAATGGAGGAGATGGGCATATTGGGAAATTCACTAGTGAGATGAGAGGGACGAGGAAGATATTAGTTATATGTGGTTGGAGATTGCCCACAACCATTAAATCAACCACTTATAAAACAAACGAAAAATGTTCTAAAAATCTAATAATTTGATAATGATTTCACTTACAATTAGCATGTTCTAAATTTCACATTTTCAAGGATTTCATACTATTTAAAAATGCGAAAGGATGCAATTTCAGAAGATATGATAAGAATATCACATTACATATAATAATTTTATATTTTATAGAATCATATGAATACATATAATATTTTTTAATAATAAAGTATGAAATATAAATAATAATGTAAAATAATGAATTCATTTTTTTTTCATGAAATAAATTTTCTCATTAACCAAATAAAATAAAATATGTTTTTTCTCAAATTGAAAGTAAAACGAAAATGGACCCCTAACAAGAGATAGGGTGGCATGTCTGCACTGCAAATTATACCGTGCACCAATTGTGCGTCTTGGCTCAAAATGACGTCATTTTGTAATTTTTCGCGTGTCTGCTGTTAACTCTTTAAAAAAATCATGTTTCGAATGTACAGAATTGTATAATAGAATGCATAGAATTTTATAACTTAATACACATAATCTCTTTTAAAAGGATAGTACATACATAATCTTTTCTGAAAGGATAATACACATAATCTAACATAATGCATAATATACATAAACTCTTAACATAATACACATAAACTATTAACTCTTTAAAAGAAAAAATCTATGTTTCGAATGTACAGAATTATATAATAGAATGTACATAATTTTATACCTGAAAACACAGAATTATATACCTGAAAACACAAAATTTTATAATTGAAAATTCCCATGTTTCAAATGTGCAGAATTATATAATAGAATGCACAGAATTTTATACAAGAAATTAACAAAACGACATCGTTTTGAGGGGCGCGGGGCGCACATTGCTATGTGCGCCCTGGTGCACGATATAACGATGGAACACTCAATTGATTTCTGAATGATAGATTGTAGATAAGGATACAAGATCATGAGTGCTTTATTTAATATGGTGAATTTCTTGTGGCAAATTATACTGTGGACAATGGTCCAAAACAATGTCGTTTCTTTTAATGAAAAGAAACGGCACCCGTTCCGCGTAAAATAGTTCTACTTGTATAACATATTCAGCTTCATTTTATATACATTGTAGTTTCATTTCAGCACAACTATAATTTTATTTTGTTTCAACTACAGTTTCTTTTGACATTAAACATACAATAGTCTTATTACAGTGAAACATGTTATTGGATTTCATTTTATACACACTGTAGTCTTCTTACAACATCATTAAATTATAGTTCTAATTCAACTACGGTTTCATTGGACAATATACACCCTAATATGTGAAACTATTATTCAGTTTCATTTTATATACATTGTAGTTTCATTACAACACAACTACAATATTATTTCGATATAACTACAGTTTCATTGGATAATATACACTCTGATGGGGTGTGGACCCCAGCCCAAGAAGACAAGGCCCAAGAGATAGAGTCCATGGATAGCGGAAGGAGCCCAGAGTGTTTAAAGACACGGCCCAGCGGGTAAAAGGTTTACAGGGCCCAACAGGGGCCAGGGCCGAGTCCAGGAGTCGGCCCAGACCCAGGTGGCGACTTCGGCAGAGATCCGTTGCCCGGCATTTATAGCCGCAGTTAAGAGGCTCGACCAAGCAAGCCGTTGAGAGTCAGAGAGAGCCGTTGGCTGGCCTGGTAACGCCATCCAACGGCCCCAAAATATAATTAGTCTTAAAGTAGTATCTTAAATGAATCTTAACTCGGTAGAGGAGGGCCTACTATATAAAGGGCCCTCCGTGAATGTAAAAGAGACGAGTCCATGCCCAGATAATAGAGAGACACCATTTTTTGAGATTATATTTTCCTCAAAGCTTTTTTATTGAAAGGTGAATCCACCAACCAATGTTGTGTTGGACTTTCCTGGGCCAAAAAATCCTAAAACCAACACTGGCGCCGTCCGTGGGGATCGAAACGAAGAGCCGCGTCCGTTCCTGAGCAGGCGAGTTCACGAAAAGGACAAGGATAGTGTAAGGAAGACAAAGGCTTTGCAACATGTTGGAGGGACGAAGTCAGGCCATCAACCGTAACAATGCGCCGGAAGTTGACTTGAGAGAGCAGCTGAATCAGCGAAACGCCCAAAGTCAAGAAAATGAGTCGGCGCCCCTGAATCGTCCATCACCAATGATACCCCTCACCCCCGAGCAACTTCGAGCCATTGGGCGAGCTATCGTTGCAGAAAACCGGGGAATGGGAGAACAGTCTGCCTCGCGACCGCCGCCCCGCAATCAACAACCGCCCCAGAGATCTGAAGAAGGCAGGCGAGGAGATCGGCGGGCAGAGAGCGTACCGGTGCGATCAGTCCATTCCAGGCTCGGACCAAATACCGCGCGCCCATCAGTGAGAGAACGACTGGGAGAAAGAGAGCCCAGTCGCGCACCGGCAGGTCCATGAAATCGAGAGGTCGCTTGAGAAAAAGCCCGTACTAGAAGGACCAGGACTCAGGCACGACGGTCCGAGCGACCTACACGCAACGATGACCAACAAGCCGAGTCGGAGGTTGACGAAAGCACGGAGTCCACTGGAAACCACACACGAAACGACGACGATGTGGCTCACCCGGCTCGAGAAGTGCGAAACCTGAGGGAGCAAATGGAAGGAAGGACCAAGTCCCCTGGACGAACGTTGCTCACTGCCTTACCTTTCTCCTCCGAGATCATGTCTTACAAAGTACCCGGCGACTTCAAATTCTCGGAACAGGCCACCTTTGACGGATCCAGCGATCCGCGAGAGCACCTTTTAAGTTATCAGGCTAAAATACAGGTTTTAGGAGTCCGAGACCCTGTCATGTGTTGCGCTTTTCTACCGACACTAAAGGGGCCGGCGCAAAGATGGTTGGTGGCTCTGTCCCAAGGATCGATACGAAACTTTGAAGAGCTGGCCGACCGCTTCATGAGTCACTACGCGGCCAACATCAAGCCGCAAAAGGATCTGACTCATCTCGGGGACATTCATCAAGAGGAAAGCGAATCCCTCGAAACTTACTTGGCCCGGTGGCAAAAAGAGATCCAGTCTATCGAAGAAGTTGAGGACCAGACCGCCCTCACCTTCTTCATCGAATCTTTACGATCCGGACAGCTGTATCGTGACCTACGGGACAACCGGCCGGCCACCTTTGCGGAGGCCATACATATGGCTAACAAGCGGGCTAACACGGAGCAGGCCATGAAGCACAAGCGGCAGCGGGAGGTCGGAGGATCTACTAATGGAAAGAGAACCCGCGCAGAAACTAAAGAAAGACGCCCGGAACCGGCTAGGCGACCTGAAGCACGGCGCCCATATGATAGGCCCAGCATCCACCCTTATAAGTCGACTCCCCCGCATCCAGTACAGGAAGTACGAGCAGTCGCGCCTCCTCCGCCTCCCCCGATCGAGGAGCATACGACGAATGAGGATCCATGTAAAATGTCTAAATATTGCCGTTATCATAAATCATACACCCACAACACGGAAGAATGTTATTACCTCAAGAAGATCATGGAGGGGATTATCCAACAAGGGACCCCGCTTCCCAACCAATGGCGACGAAGATCGGCAGCCCGGGAAGACGGCGACTCTGCCGGAACAACCGAGGGTAGTCGCGGCAAGCAGCCGGCGACCGACGAAGACGAGGCCCAGTGGCGGCAGAAGCCGGTTACCAATATGATAGTTGGCAGACCAGAGGAAGGCGACTCGGCGAATACCAGGAAAGCCTGGGCCCGGCAATTGTATGTTGGGACCGTGTACGGACGAGAAGGTGGCTCGAAGAAAGTCTGTCGAGAGCCTATTGTCTTCACTGACAAGGATCTACCCACAGGGGAAACACCACACCGTGACGCACTGGTCATCGCAATGGACGTAAATGGGGTAGTTGTTCGGCGAATCCTGGTAGAAACCGGGAGCAGTGTCAACGTCTTGTACCTCGAGACTTTCACCAAGATGGGTCTAACACGAGAACAATTGATCCCAGTTAAGACGCCCCTCGCCGGCTTCACGGGCGACTCGGTGAAGGCGGAATGGTCAATCACGTTGCCAGTAGAAATCGACAGCTATCCCGACGTACAAAAGCTGGACATGAAATTCATTGTGGTCGACTTGACCTGTTCGCACAACGCAATACTTGGTCGACTAGGCTTGGAAGATCTGGTAGCATTGATCTCCATTGAGCATCTCTGCTTGAAGTTCCGCACGCCGAACGGGATTGGCATGGCCCGCTGTGACAGAAGAATCACCCGTGATTGCTATTTACAAGCTTGTAGGGGCATGGGGAAGCGTGAAATGCAGGTCCACGAGATCACAAAACGACCTCCAAAAAAGACAATGATACCCCGCCCAGAGCTGGCCGCCGAATTGGAAGATATTGAAATCAACCCCGAACGACCAGAAAGAATAGTTCGAATTGGAGTCGGTCTCCAAGATGAGGTACGGGCAGAAGTCATAAAGGTGCTTCGAGAGAACCGGCTAGTCTTTGCTTGGGAGCCGGAGGATATGCCGGGAATTGACCGATCTATCATCGCTCATCGGCTCGCTGTCGACCCCGACCATTGACCAGTGATTCAAAAGAAGCGATATCTAGACAACGACAGAAGGGAATTCGTGAAGAAAGAAGTAAGCACGCTGTTAGCCGCGGGTCATGTCCGAGAAGTCAAGTACCCAGAATGGCTGGCTAACGTGGTGCTCGTGCCGAAAGCCCCGGCTTGGCGAATGTGTGTGGATTATACCGACCTTAACATGGCTTGTCCGAAGGACCCGTTTCCGCTGTCTCAGATAGATCAGTTGGTCGACGAAACGGCGGGGTCAGCTTTGCTAAGTTTCATGGATGCCTTTCGGGGATACCATCAGATCTTCATGCACAAGGCCGATGAAGAGAAAACCGCTTTCCTGACCCCGGATGGGGTGTATTGTTACCGAGTCATGCTATTCGGACTCAAGAATGCGGGAGCTACGTACACCCGAATGGTCGCCCGGCTGTTCCAGGACTTATTGGGAAAATCTATGGCAGCATACGTAGACGACATGCTGGTAAAGAGTCGGGAGGAAATTAATCATGCTAAGGACTTGGCCGACTGCTTTCAGATAATGCTTAAATACAATTTACGACTTAACCCGAAAAAGTGCGCCTTCGCCGTGCAAGGTGGGAAGTTCTTGGGGTATATGGTGACCAAAAGGGGAATCGAGCCCAACCCGAAGAAGGTGCAGGCAATCATGGACATGCAGCTTTCGAGTACTGTTAAGGACCTTCAGCGGTTGACCGGTCGACTGGCTGCCCTTAGCCGATTTCTAAGCAAATCGGTGGACAAGACTGTGCCCTTTTTCGAGGCTATGAAGAAGAAGGAGGGCTTCGTGTGGACAGCCGAGTGCCAGCAATCATTCGATGAGTTGAAAAGATATCTTTCCACACCTCCAGTGTTATCCACCCCCAAGTCGGTGAGCCATTGTTCTTATATCTAGCGGCATCCTCGAAGGCGGTGAGTTCGGTACTTGTCCGAGAGGAAGAACGTGCTCAGCACTCGGTGTATTACGTGAGTCGTTCTTTGAAGGCAGCCGAAGCGCGATATACGCCTTTGGAGAAAATCGTTTATGCTCTGATAATCACCATGCGCAAACTGGCGCCCTACTTCCAAGCCCACACCGTCCGGGTCTTGATCGATCAACCCCTAGGAAGCGTGTTACGGAATCCAACGTCGTCCGACCGACTCGTGAAGTGGGCGGTGGAGTTGACCCAGTACAGGATCGAGTATCAGCCTCGCCCATCAGTGAAAGGACAGGCCTTGGCCTATTTCTTGGTCGAGTGCACTGCAGGAGAAAGCGGCAGGGATGACATCCAGGAAGATGGCCCCGGCGAATGGTGGGAGATACATGCGGATGGAGCAGCCAGTTGCCAACATTGCGGCGGCGGAGTTATGTTGATTACTCTGGAAGGGTTCAGTCTTTACTACGCCTTAAGTTATTTGTTCCCGACCTCTAACAATGAGGCCGAGTACGAGGCTGTGCTGGGTGGCCTACGACTCGCCAAGACACTGGGGGCGGAATGCCTACGAATCAAGACCGACTCTCGTTTGGTGGTTGGACAGGTGTCCGGAACCTGCGACGTGAAAAACGCTCGGATGGCTCAATACACGGAAAAAATGGTAGAATTATTGAAGGGATTCTGCGCTTATGAGATAGAGTACATCTCTCAAGCCGACAACACAGAGACCGACATACTTTAAAAAATCGCTTTGGAAGGTGTATCGGATCATCTCGTTAAGATCTGCCAAAAGGAAGAACTGGTTCGACCCGGCATAGAAGAGGCGACCTCAAAGATTCAGCAAGTGACGGCTGAGGAATGGAACCCCGAAATGTTCTGGATCGAAGATATTCGACGGTACAAAGAAAAGGGGGAATTGCCCGAGGACCCCGGAGTCGCCGCCCGAGTCCGTCGCAAGGCTTCGTCATTCGAAATTATCGATGGGCAACTATACAAGCGGTCATTTGGGGGTCCCCTCCTCAGGTGCTTTCTCAGAACAGAGGCGGAGAAAATAATGGACGAAGCCCATCATGGAATCTGTGTAGCTCATCAGGGCGCCCATACTCTCGCGCGGAATTTAGTCGTTCAGGGATATTACTGGCCTACTATGATGAGGGACTGCATCGAGTGGATAGCCAAATGCGCGATCTGCCAAGCATTCGCTCGAAAGGATACTCCGCCAACCACTTTCTACACGCCGGTTACTACGGCCATCCCCTTCAAATGGGGGATTGATCTGCTGGGCCCACTACCAGTCGCCCACGGGCGTCTGAAGTTCTGTGTAGTGGCCATCGACTATTTCACTAAGTGGGTTGAGGCTGAGCCACTAGCTACCATCACCGAATATCAGTGTCAACGCTTCTTGTGGAAGAAAGTAATTTGCCGCTTTGGATTACCTGAGCATGTGGTCAGCGATAACGGTCGACAGTTCGACTGCCAACCCTTTGTCGACTTCTGCCGACGGCACAGCATACGCCAAACCAAGGTGTCAGTTGCTTACCCCTAGGCCAATGGACAAGTCGAGAACGTAAATCATACAATCGTGGATGGAATCCGGAAAAAGCTGGAGGACATTGGGGGAAACTGGGCGGATGAGCTTGAAACGAGATCGAGACCAAGCAACACGAGAGTTACTCTCGTGCGCTGCGGCCTGGCCGAGAGCATGCAGCACGAAAGTTGCTCTCGTGCGCTGCGGCTGAACAGCACTTCGGTCTACCAGAGCTGTGCTACTTGAAAGCCTGGGTTCGACCTGGCCCGAGAGCATTAGGCCGAACAGAGAGCAACACGAGAGTTGCTCTCTCGTGCGCTGGTCGAACAGAGAACAAGCAGCATGAGAGGTGCTCTCGTGTGCGCTGGCCGAGACCAAGCAACACGAGAGTTGCTCCCGTGCGCTGCGGCCTGGCCGAGAGCATGCAGAACGAAAGTTGCTCTCGTGCGCTACGGCCGAAAAGCACTTCGGTCTACCAGAGCTGTTTCTGGACAGTGGAGATTTAATTCATCCGTTACAGGAATTAATCTCTGTATTAATTCATTTTGAATTTTGAATTAAACCTGCACTAATGACCAGCTGTTTCAGATGTTACCAACGTGCCATGAATGCCTACTAAATGCTATTTAGTACTCCAATTCCTATATAAGAAGAGGTAGTAGGAGCAAGTGATTTACAACAAGTGAGGGAAGAACACGAGAGTACACAACACACAAAGATAAGCATTTTTCCTTCTCAAAAACTTTGCTCCTACTTCTTCTTTCTTGCTACTGTGTTTTGCCCGTGCTCTAGTTCGTCGGGTTCGCTCGTTTGGGTGCTCAAACGTCGAACCGTTGTACGTTTTATCCTGGGAAACCTAGGCCACAACGCTCCTAGCACTTTTGGGAGGTGGCAAATAAGGTTTTAAGGAAAGAAAGGCACATTGCCTAACTCGTACATTCCTTTTTTCCTTCTCCTTCTTTCTTGTTTTGGATTATGCTTTTAAGCAAAAATCCGTTCTCCCTCTTTTGAGATATACGTTGGATTGGACTTATAATCTGAGGATTATTAGTTCCAATTTCTGGTTGATATATATTGGTATATCTTTCTCGTAGATATACATATATATATATATATATATAAAAAACCTTTGGGTCCGTTTATATATATTTGTGTGTATATATATATTACGGATAAAATATCAAATAATATTTTATATACTTGTGTGTGTATATAGAAATATTATTTTACGATATTAAATCGATTTTGGTTCATTATCACCAACAATCACCTAAAGTTCAAACCTTGAATAAAGTGCCATCACTTTTCACATCTTGATAACAGTTCCTGAGAGAAAAGATGGGAAACAAGGGCCCAGACCCTTAGTCGTTTCCGAGAAAAAATCTAGAGGAGTCGCCTCGACTGAGGGACTCGGCGAGAAAAGATGAAAAACAAGGGCCCAGACCCTTAGTCGTTTCCGAAAAAAAAGCCTAGAAGAGTCGCCTCGACTGAGGGACTCGGCGAGAAAAGATGGGAAACAAGGGCCCAGACCCTTAGTCGTTTCTGAGAAAAAACCTAGAGGAGTCGCCTCGACCGAGGGACTCGGCGAGAAAAGATGGGAAACAAGGGCCCAGACCCTTAGTCGTTTCCGAGAAAAAGCCTAGAGGAGTCGCCTCGACTGAGGGACTCGGCGAGAAAGATGGGAAACAAGGGCCCAGACCCTTAGTCGTTTCCGAGAAAAAGCCTAGAGGAGTCGCCTCGACTGAGGGACTCGGCGAGAAAAGATGGGAAACAAGGGCGCAGACCCTTAGTCGTTTTCGAGAAAAAGCCTAGAGGAGTCGCCTCGACTGAGCGACTCGGCGAGAAAAGATAGAAAACGAGAGCAGTCGAAAGGCATAAATAAAATTGCATAAAGAAAAACACGAAGAAGAGCAAAGGGAAAAGTTTCATTCAATAAAAGCCCGAGGGGAAGGCCATCCCTTACAAAAAAAAAGGGGAGAAGTTTCTAAAAGCCCTAGACTATGGGGGAAGGGGTGTCGACGTTGACTTCCTCCACTTGTTCTTCCGCCGATGGTCCAGCTGGAGGAACAGGTGAAGGATCTTCCGCCGGAGGAGGCTGTTCAGTCGAAGTCATCGGGCTCGCCACAGGAGGAGCCGCCGGATCAGCAGTCGCCGTAGGCGTCTCAACAGCTGGTAGAGGATCGAGCACCGGTTTAATGCCCCAGCTCTCTGGAGTGAAGGTCGAGTCGCGGGCCAAGAGGAGGGCATGGATCTCCATCTGAGCTTCATGATAGCCCAGGCGGTAATCACGCTCGCCCAGATCCAGTAGATAGTCGTCCCCTTCTGGAGTCGCCAGCCACTCCTTCGCCAGCGCCTCTCGACGACCCTCAACCGCCGACTTCACGTCCGCCTCAAAGGTAGCCGAGTTCTTGTACTCGGCAACAGCGGTGGCAACCGAGGCAGCAGCGGTGACGGCCTTGTCTCGCTCTGTCTCCCATTGGCAGTTGACCCTCAGCAGCTCGGCGGTATGAACCTCCTTCGCCTTGGCATAAACCGCCTGTTCTTCCAGGC